TTCGCAGATATATGCTACGACCTTCATAGAAATGGCCACAAACAGATGACAGAATAACCTTCGACAGGAAGACAACCAATTGGAAGACGCTATCTCCCTGTTAATAATAACGAATAATAATGCACATAAAAATCTACAAATACCTGTTGATTTCCTCAATAAACGATCTGCTGCCTAACTCTTGTCTTCAGTCGTTACAATGCTACTTACTAGTGATAAGTAGTATGAAGATGAATTACAGGGGAAACAATAATAAAATATAGTTGAGAAAGGAGGTAACCGTTGGTTTGTATTATACACATATTAGCATGTTTGTGTCCTCTCGGCTGGATGGTTTAGTTGCGGAAGTTTCACTGTCTTCCCAGACCACAACATTCTCCCACATGCTTCAGCTTGAAGTGATCTTATTAGAATTTCCCACTAGTTTATGAATCATCTCTCTAGTGACGTTGAATGTGATTGGTCGTTTCTGGATACTTTTCCCATCCTCTAGTCCATTTGAATTATTGCTCGAGTTTCTGTTGACCGTTTGTTCATGTGATTTCCTCTTCTTATTGATCATAAGTCTTATCTATGTCGATGTGGCTGTTGATTGCCAATTATTTTAGCCTGAATACTAGGCTTCTAGAAATTCCCTGTCATTTTGGTGTTAGTGTTGTAGTAAGAGCTGTCTGCAAACCAAGATTGTAGACAACAATTTACGTCAATGCTTACGTCCCGAATCCTGGTCATAAGAGAAAACAAAGCATAAGCCTAAGGAACTCAACAACCAATCACAGCAGACCTAACGTGAGCAGATACCATTCGCAGACCGGACTGTTTAAGACAATTCGATTTACAGATAGAGGACAACTAATTAGAAGACGTTGCTTCTCTGCTAAAAATAACGCTGATTATAATTTACATAAAATCTATAAATATCTGTTGATTTTTTTAATAAACAATCTGTTGCCTGACTCTTCTCTTCTGTCGTTTGCAGATGTAAAGACGAAGACTATGATCCGAAGCTTCTCTGCAATATTCTTCCTTTATTTCCTTGAAAAATTCCTAGAGTTAGGTAAAATCTTATTTCAAATTGTGCGCGAGTATAGACTGTGTCTGATTGCCGTAATTAGTTCATTAAAACAATAGTGAAAAGGAATGAACACGATGCTTTCGGATTGGGGCGTACAATTAGGCGGGTCATCATTGTTTTTCCGAACATCATCCAACATGGTTAAGCAAGGGACAAACAAGATCTATTCGTAGCTCTATTTTAGCACACCTTGTAGATAGTGAGCATAAGGTTGACATTAATAATGCATTTAAAATTATTCATCACATTCCTACTAAACTTAATTTTGCTCTACGAGTTCGTCTTCTACAGACAGCTGACGTAACAGGAATCCACCTGAAGAAGTCAAACCTGTGTATTGAAAAGAAATTTGTACAGCCACTTTCCTTACCTTGGCCATCATTACATGAATGTATAAACCGGACTACTTCGCCCTCCCTGCTCCCAAACCTTTAAAATTATAATTGTTCAAATTATTTTAGTTTCATTTATTTTGACCACTTCATCTTTAATTTACGTGTTATCCTTGTAAAATTAATTTATTCTAACCATTTCTAATTTTAATTGTCTGTATTAATTTTCTTCGCTAATTATCACCTCATTCACATGTTGACACTGACTAATTATTGTTGACCAACATATCAGTGCCACTTGATTGGTAAACTGTTGTGTATTGTAATAAAAATGCTGTATATATTAGAGTAGAGCCAGAGATGAGGATCTAATTGAAAAGTAAAATATTTCTTCTCTCGGTCCTTTTGTTTTCTAAATCTCACCTGTGTTATAATGATTCATACCTTTTTGGCTTCTATATAAGTGTGTATGACAAGTAATCGTGTGTGTGTGATCAGAATGTCCAAAATGTGTTGCGCAAATACATCACCGAAGAGAAACTCACCGGATTCAGTAACACACAGCCATATTTTTATTTTTTTTCTTATTTTTGGAAATAGCTTGATTCCACACTGTATTTTTGGTACAAGTATGGAATTTTCAGCGTGGATATCGGTAGCCCAAATTTCGCAGGCCGAACATAGATATCTGGTGTGCGCCGGTGTGGGCTCGAACCCCGGACCATGTGCATGGTCGTCGAGAGTCCTAACCATTGTGCCACCGACGCACAATTCAATACATGTTTGGAAATGAAACAAAGTGCCACTAGTTGGATCAAAATATGTGTACAACTTACACTCACATCATATAATTCCACAAAGTTTTATAGACTGGACATACTGTGTAGTAAAACAGTTTCATTTCTTGAATGATACCACAAATACTACTTTAATTTAAATAAGTAGGTTGTAGACTGTTCACGGAAATATAGAATACATATTCATAACTTTTGCTTAAAAACATAAATTCAAATCTTGGATGGATAAACTAACTCATATCGTTGACTTAAAGATCCTGATTTTAATTCCTATTTGAGTGAGTCATGGATGCACACCTATGGCGATTTCAAAATAAGGGAATAGACGTTTGCTGTGGCTCTCGGTTGTTTTCAGTTATTCCCTAAGTGATTTCAGTTCGCTACGAAAATGCTTATATTGTCTGGAAGTGTCTCAAGGAAGGTATCAGAAGACGAAAAAATTGATGGTATGCATCTGTCAAAATGCAACCAGGATAAACTGACGAATACTAAAACTTCTCGTATGCGTTGCACACGTGTAGATTGTAATTAATGTTGAGAGATATCTACAAACTATCATGAATTTTGTCCTGTGTGTTCGTAAATTTTGCCATGTAGTCACTAAGCTTCTAGATGACGTGAAGTCGAGGTGGGCTTTCGAATGTTATTAAGTTGTTGGTCACCAAGAAGCCTTGGATCTAGGTTTCATGCTTTTTGGCTGGGGTCAGCATAGCCTATTTAACACCTTGCAGAAACCGATGGCTACTTCGACGAATTCAACAAGAAACTCACTAAATCATTAACTCATTCAATATTGCCTAGTACTGATTTTCAAGGCAGATGTCTTGTCAGATAGCTGTGTCCACATTAGAATGATGATATATGTAATGAGACGCGAAATCAGCACCTATTGTTTGACACACTGGTATCATCTACCAACGGCGACTACTCAATGGCAGACGACTTTCATGCAATAAATAAGATAAAGATTACTGACTAATAATGAAATTAGTCAGTAAATTAACACAGTGTATGCTGACGGAACACTGCAACACTATGGATAATCATTGAACAGAGCTTGGAATGGCAGTCAACTATCTCTGCCACACTCAACTTCATCGACTTTGAAAAGGCCTTCAACAGACAGGTGCGATCAAGAGGTGATTTGGAAACTACTTCGTTACTAGCAAGGATTGTCGCCAACAATTATACATCTCATCCAACACTTGTACGACAATGATGCATGCCAAGTAATCCACAACGGGAAACTCACGGAATCCTTAGAGAAAAGCGAAGACGGGAATAAGACAAGTCTGGCTGCCTACTATTTCCAATGATTTCTGTGATTGCGGTCGGTAGATTGGATAATGCAACAGACACTAGCAGACAGGCATAAAATGGATCCACACAAAACACTTGGAGGATCTGGATTTCGCCGATGTGATATATGTGTCTGACTTCCCACAAACTGGAAGATATGCAGATGAAAAGCAACACGCTGGCAGAAGAAGCATCAAAGATAGGACTTCAGGTGAATATAGATAAAACAGAGGTGATGAAGATTCCTGGCCAACAGCAACAGCGACAACAGCAGATAACAATCACCATAAATGGGAAGAACCTGAAAGAAAAAATCTCCTTTACCCACCGACCTGTAAAGCATCGTTTCAACTACAGGTGGAATTGATGAGGATATCAAAGCAAGGATCGGGAAAGCTAGGCAAGCTTCCGCTATTCTCAAGACTTTGTGGAGATTAACAGCACTACTCAGAATGAAGAATAAGATCCGGATTTTCAACTTCAATGTGAAGTAAGCACTACTTGTTTTACGGATCACAGGCTTGGCGCGTCATGAAGAGCACCTCAAACAAACTACAGACCTTCATCAGTAGCTGCCTTCGTTCAATACTCAAGATCAGATGGGTGGCAAGAAAAGATCAGCAACAGGTATCTCTGGCAATGAGCTAACCAACCCAACAGGAACCGATTGTGCAACGCATAAACAGGAAGAAATGCAGTAAGGTGTATTGGCCATACTCTGAGGAAACCATCAGGTGTTATCACTAGACAGGCCATTGATCGAGTGGAACCCGAACGGGAAGCGATGAGTTGGCCGGCCAAGGCTGACTTGGAGGAGGTCATGTGAAGAGAAGATCACAGCATGTGGGCAGACTTGGAGCCAGGTGATGAAGACGTTAGCAGACAACCGAACGCAATGGAGACGTTCGGCTGAACCCCTATGTTTCTCTAGGAATTGAAGGAAACAATAATTATTAAAAAATAATAATCCTGACGGAAATATAGACGTTCAGGAGCACATCTCCATTCCAATGTGTTCTCTGCAGTCTTTCTTAGCTGGCTCCAGGACTACTCGTAAGCGTTTCAGTTTTCTCCTGACACGGTCTCCTCTCTGGCATTTTTAGAATCAAGCCAAACTCATCGTCTCCTAGTAAGGTCCCATCCGGGGACATGACTGACGCATGACGTCACTCAACGGTCTCGTCAACATATGTCCAATTCGTTAGGTGTAGATATATATATAGACAGAGATTAATCACTGAAGCTTCGTTTATCGATTCAACACCACACAACACGAGCAATCAAAATGACGCAACGAAATGAAACGCACCGCCTATATCAGAGATATGAAAATGGACAACTAACAACATGACGAAGTCTGAGAGAGACAGAAAGAGAGATAAATTGTCGAACAGTGTAACTAAAATGATACGATAATGAGTAGCAATCATTTATTCTCGAAACCTTGTCATCCAGGTGTTAGCACTGCACGCCTCACTGTCTGATATATTTAAAAATAAACTTATCTAGTTATAGAATTACATTCGACCACCACAGTGCTGGCTAAGCTCTACACTGACATTAAAGTTAACTTAGAATTCAATAGTAGGGAAGACAAAATATGTTGAAAAGTTTTATAATAAAAAAAAGAATAATTTTGTACAAAAGTTGTTTGTTTCTTTGCCTTTTTGTATGACTACAACTCATAGCTAAGCTAAAAAAAAAGCTGAAATACACAATCAATCAGCATTTGAAACAATCTCACAGTTTTCATCACACTTGGGAGCGCGGGCTGGGAAGGGAGGCATCGGAGGTATCAAAAACTGAACAATCAGAAAGAGATTTTAAGATTTGTCTATACAAAAATGATGATGCCTTCTACACGTACAAAGATAGATACAGAATTGCGTTTTGTCCCCTGAATTCACCTAACACTCTTCGCTAGGAATCTATCATTTGTTAAGCATCTTTTCATTAGGCTTTGCAGAAACCTGTAATTAAGAAAAAACAAACAAAAAAAACGAAAAGTACACACTTAATTATTTTGCTTATGCAAAATTTGTTACATTGTAATACACATCAAAGTGTATGCAACATTTGACAAATTGTCTACCCTGAAATTTATAATACCCGTGTTGACTTAAATTTTATGAAAAAGTTATACAGCTTACAAAACACTACAGAGTTGCACTTATTATTACTGTTATTATTATTATTACAATCTATTGGGTTCCATTTAAAACATAGCTCATCTTCCTTTCACTTTGTCTACTGCAGTCTTTTCCATCTTGCTCTAAGGTTATGCATAATTCCTCATTTCCTCCATCACAAACAATCTGACTGACCGACTGGTTTCAACATAGAACTACTCTACACAGATGTGCAGCGGTTTGAAGAGAGAGAGTGGAAATGATAAACAGAAATATGAGGCAAAAAGAATATTTGTAATATGGAAGAACAATAGAATTTTATTGGAAATGGAAATTTGCAAAGGAAGAGTGGATGCATTGGCGCCATCAATGATAACAATTTTCAACCTTCATTGGTTTTTACTGTCCTGAGGACTTCAACCAGCCAGTCAGGAAGTCTACACCTCCTTACATGGCTGGCTGGCTTAAACTAACTGTTATAGTAATAATTATAGTAATAATTAATAGCTTTATTCCAAACAGTATTTGTGGTATAGGTATGAAATTTTCAGCGTACATTACAATATATTGCATCCAATTACCTCATAAATTTTATAAGATTTTAAAGTCAAAAAAGCAACACTCAAACAAAAAAAGATAAGTAGAAAAATAAATAAAAACAACAGCGTTGCGTTTACATTTTAAACAATGCACCACAGGATATGAAATATAAAATTGGTGTGTAATAGAAGATGAGAACAACAGTGTAATAGTAACGAGGAAAGGAAAACAAAAACTAATGAGACTATTTGTTAGATTGCCGCAGTAAGTTTATCGTGTCATACCTAACGGATTTCTCATCACATAACAGCTGTGCCAGATATGGTATTGTGGAGTTTTTGTATTTGGCAGTCCTAGCATATAGCCTCCTATAGCTGCTTCTAGTTCTACCAGATGAAATGCAAGGAGGGAGCTGCATATAGAGAGGATGCTCGGGGTCCGACAATATTGTATTCGCTAGTTTCTTATGTGAAATTATATGTCTATCCACAATAGTGTTAACCAGTTGGTTTAACGATATCCCACTTGCCCTACTAACGTCTTTTAGTGCCTGCCCTTCTCAGCAAAGCAAAGTCTTTCTTAAGTAGTCCAGTAAAAATTAATGGGGAGCAGTAAAGGGGGATGGGTATAATTGACAAAGAATTGACAAACTGAGAAAGCAAAGACTGCTTTATACCAGACTGCCTAAATTTCCTAATGTAGAACGTTAAGCGAAACATCTTTGTAGTAACTAGCAAGATGTGGGAGGACCAGGAAAGATCGGTGGAAAAACTCAGCCCAAGGTACTTGACATTAGATGTATTTTCAACCTCTATGCCGTCAATGATAGTGGGGCCATGTGAGCTAGCTAGTTGTTGTAGGTCACGTTTACGTCTGAAAGCGAAATTGACTACCTGACATTCCAACGGATTTAGCTTAAGACCGTTTGAAGGGGAGCACTGACTAATTTCCAACAGAAAGTTATTTAATTTGGAACAATCTGACTGAGAGTTGACAGGCAAAGAAACAGAGAGGTCATCAGCATACTTGACAAAAGTGGCGACATCAGAATGAGGCAAGTCATGTAAGAAAAAAGAAAACAGAAAGGCGAAAGAACAGCACCTTGAGGAACACCAGCTAAAGTAAGTGAGGTAGTGGAGGACTTTCCATTGTAGACGGTGTTCTGCTTCCTATCAGAAATGGATTGGATTGACTGATGAAGCCATGTTTTGGTTCGACCACAACTACCTCTTTTCCAACCTGATCCAACCAATGTAGGCAATTAACACTACCCGTTGTCCAGGAAGGCAATCGATGGCTAGTGGGGATGCATGCGTAACACATGTTCTAACCATCTCTTAATCGATATAACTCCACAACCTCGTTGACTTAATTTCATTCCTAACCAAACACTCAACGGATACCTAACCAACCCAATATTGCTCACTCTATTATACCACTAAACTTGCGAGATAGAACTCAGACACGTATGATCAAATACAGCTAGCTAGCCAGCCTTTTCATGTCTTCCACTTTCAATGGCCATGTCTCACTCATCTGGATGGTGTCATCCAGGTGGTAACGGTCAATTTCTGAAGATTGTTGTTGATATGTCTCAAAATCATTCTCAATGATCCAGATCATATTCACTCTTTGTTCTCTTCTAGATAAATTAAATTCACATTATTCTGCATGTGTAATGATTCTTTCTCCTGTGTATTTTAATTTATTTTAGTTTGCTTTCATTTAAATCGCTTTTATCTATGAAGACTTTTATGAAGTGTTGCAACTTGAACTACTCCTGAACTTCTGTGTAAAACAACTCTAACATTGAAAGATTGGTTTATTTATGTTGCTACTAAATACCAGACAGCCTTTTAAAATTCCCTAGCATTCTTGGTGTTTCTTCTGCCTAATGTTTGAACGTTGGTTGTCCCAGTTGAATTGATGTCCGTGGTTGTCTGTATGCAGCGAGTGATATGATGGAGAGGATGTTATAACTTTAGACGCCTAGTTTATGTTCATGGATACGAAGACGAGGAGGAGGGTCGTCCACATTGTCCAATGTAGTGTTTTTCGCACTTGTTACAACTTATTTTGTAGATGATGTTGGTTTTATCTTCTTTCGTTGTTGAGTCTTTTAGTGGACATAGAGTTGAGTGAGGCGATTTTATTGGTTAGTGTGCGACGCCAATTCCTAAAGATTTAAAGAATCTTACTGTGATTTCAGAGATGTCTTTTATATATTGTGGGGCGACTTTCTTTGTGTTTTCGTTGGGGGCATTTCATTTGGTAGGCAGGCTTAGGGGTAGATGTCTTTTGATGAAGTTCCTTGGATTACTATTCTTCTGGAAGACGTCCATGAGATATTATTCTTCAATTTTCGTTAAGGTAGAGAGGAGTGCTGCAATGAGTCCCAGTCGGGTCTCTTGAATAGTATTTGATTACAATTCCTTTTGTGTGTTATTGGATTGTTGCTGTTGTAATTCAGGATTTGGTCTGTTTGAGCTGGTTTTCTATAAACTTGAGTTTCTAATTCCCCTGTAGTTGTTCGCTTGACTAGGACGTCCAAAAATGAGATTTCACTCTCGGATTCCTCTTCTCTTGTGAAGACTTTGTTTATTAAGTTGTGGGTTTTATCTAACTCGTTTCTTTTGATTATTACAAATGTGTCATTTACATAACGTATCCAAATTTTGGGTTTTATCTTTGATAAGATTATGTTTTTGAACCTCTGCATCACTGTTTTGGTAACTAAACTTGATATTGGCAATTCCATGGGTGTTTCTTTGACCTATTTATATATTCGGCTGTTAAATTGGAAGTGCGTTGTTAAGCATACATTGATGCATTCCATCCAACTTGTATATGTGTGGCATTTTTGACTGTTGTGGTCAAGGTGTTCGTCGTCGCTGAGTAATTGCTCCATGGTTGGTGTTTTCCTAATTCCTGTCCAATTCAGGTATATAATTCTGTGATGTCGAAGGATGTCATTATTTCTTGGTCATCTGTTTGAATGTCTTTGATTTGCTCTGGAAATTGGATAACAGAATTGATGGAGTGATCACAAGATTCCGTTAGGTGTTTTAGTTTTCTGTATAATTCTTTGGATAAATTATATGTTGGAGTTCCTGGGAGTGATACAATTGGTCGTAATGGGATATTTAGCTTGTGTACTTTGCGTCTTTCGTAGAATCGGGGTAGGACTGGTTCATTTGATTTCATTCAAAATTGGTCTTGTTTTGCGATCTCACCTGTTTTGATGAGCTGGTTTAAAGTTCTTTGGATGCGGTTGTCTAATGTTTGTATGGAGTTTGTTGATATACATCCTCGTCTTTGAATAGTTCCTCAGCTTTCTTAGTGTATTCTTCTCTTTCCATGACTACTGTTGTTCTTCCTTTGTAAGCTGGCAGAATGACGATGTCCTTCCTATTTTTCAGCTTTTTGAGGGCCTTTATTTCTTGAGAGTTGAGTTGTGTGTGTGTCGTTTTTTTCTGTTTGACCATTGCTACGACCATTTGGCGCATCTCTTCTTGTGTTTCCTCGTTCAAAAACGCAAACAGCTAGCTCAGTGGTAACGTCTCTGACTGTAACACTGGCTAGTGACACGGGTTCGAGTTTTAGAACGGACATGAATTCGTTTAATGTTACACATATGCCTGACTGACTGGTGAGTACCGACAAGCATGGCTGCCTGTTAACTGCCTCTGACCGTGTCATATCAGCAATTCACAGTGCACGTGATGAACAGCCACCTAGTGACCACATTGTAAACTTTACTGATAGACATTAGCCTACACCAACGACTAAGTTAAACTTTAAGCACCAATAACTACCAATCAGCGAACGACGTTGAATTTTCCAATGAGATTCATGAACGTTAATTCAATGTTGTAAAGCGCTTGATTCATTTCATATGCGTGCCCTAACAAGGTTACGGTTGCAATTCGAGGACAGTGCGTTCCACTATTGCCTAGATTTAGGGTTGCTCTGTAAGGAGCAAACTTGTTCGTGTGGTGGTGTCATGACTTTAAAAAGCTATACCAGGTCAACTGATGGATTCGTCCATTGTTGTGCAATATGCTTGAAGCGAGTGAGCATTAGAGAAGGTAAGCTGATAATTTTATTATTTTGTAGGAACGTTTTTTGCAAGGTCACACCTCTCCTTGACGCAAATTCTGTATATCTGCAACTACTGGATATTGAAACAGCCAGTAAGAGCCGACGCTTCTGAGGCGGAGAATAGCCTCGTCTCAGCAGTTTAATGCTACCAGCAATGCATAGATATTGCTTTTGGAAAATGGAGAAAATCACTTCTTTGT